TTACCTAATACTGAGAATGTATTTAATACTACTGAATTGTACACTTTAAAATGGTTAAAATGGCAAATTTTATGCAATATATATTTCAACACAATAAAAAATTGTTAAAAATGTAAAGTGTTTGTTGAAGAGATACCAATTGTTTTACAAGTTTCTGGTCGAAGACAAAATCGTGCAATCCTTCTGTCTGTGTGCAAGAACCAGCTGCTAAGGCAAAGGGCACATGACTGGATGCATATTTTGATTCAAGACAGACCTAGCTCTGTAGGTGAAACAGTTAGGAGAGAGTAAAAGGGGAAACTATGAACATCGGCTGTCTGGAGCTGGTGGTTGGATGACCTTGGGCCTCTGTCCCCCACTCCCACTTCTTCACCCCAGCCAGGGAGACAGCCTGGCCTGGGAGGTACTGGGCTGGGCAGTGCAGAGGCCAGGACATTTCCCATTCCCTGCCGGGGAGCCTCTGCCTGGGGCTCCAGCCTTGAGCTGCACTGCCACTGGACACTTCGTGATCTGGGTAGGCAGTGTGGCAATACCAGGGAAGAAGTTGGTTCTGAACAGTAGGGAGAAACGATCATATTTCCACCATGTGGAGCTTTGTACCAGATGGGGTGGGCAACATGGCAGGAAAGAAAGAAGGGGCACCTTGGGCCCCAACCAGGTGCCAGCTACTGTTCCAGGCTCAGGGAACATGGAACTGGAACAGAGAAAGCATTAACTATTTATCGGGTTAATGAATTTATATGCAGAATCTCATTGAATTCTCATATCCACCTCCTTATTCCTATTTTACAGTGAGGAAACTGAGGCTCAGAGAGATTCAGAAACATACCCAGGGTCACACAGCTAGTAGTATACAAGGAATGGAGATTCAGACTCAGTTACTCTGACTCCAGTGTTAGGCTCTTCCCACCTCGCTGCAAGAAGCAGTCCTTGCTCTTTCTACACTGAGTCATAGGAACCCTAGAAGGGGGTCCTATTGACATGGCCAGGACAATGCAGCACTGACTGGGGCCAGATGCCAGATCCAGGTGACAGGGATGCTTTATCCATGACAGAGGTGCTGCGATGTGAGGAAGGAACTGGCCACCAGCCTTAACCCAGCCATGACATAATCACACTCCAGAGTCACATTAACACTTGAGACAATGTCAAATTTCTGGAGCCACAAATCAAGATTCATCTGTAATATGCAGTGCTCTGGCCAACGCAATACCTGGAAGTCTGGTCTGGGCAACTACCCAGCCAGCCCCCCAATCCGAATTTCCCCTCGTTCCATTAAGCATTTAGCATGGGGCCTGCTCCAAAAATGTGGACATCACTCTCCAGATACTTAAACTTCAGTAGTACTCAGGTGTTCTGATTTAAGTCAAGCACTCGCTTCTCTACTCACTGAAGCCATAAGACTCTCTGAGGCACTTGTTAAAATTCAGATTCCCTGGCCCCTCCCCCACAGATTCTGGTCAGTGGGTTCTGGGTTGGAGCCCAGGAATCTGTATTTTATCACACTTCCCAGATGAGTCTGTCATCAGAGAAGTTTGGGAAACCCTACTTTACACCAATACTTCTGCCATGAAAGCCATTCCTGTTCTTGCAAAACACTGTAGGCCAAGGCCAATGTGAAGACATCAGATGGATTTGGGGGTTGGGAGTGGGGTGGCTAGTATGGACATAGCTACTGAAGAAACAGGTAGACTAAGATCATACTGCAGGTACTCTGTGTTCTATCCACCCACGTACTAGACCTTTGATGTTCACAGCAACCCAGCAGAAAACATTTGCACAACCTTTGAACTGACGAGTTAAACCTGAGCAGTGAAGTGCCATAGGGTTTACAGTACAAGGCCCACTACAAATTATCCCTCAAACCTCACCTCTATTCCCTCTGCCTTTGCTCAGAGCCACTCCTTTTCTTGCAAACCACCAAGGCTAAGGCTGAAGTGACGGTGGGGTCAGCCTCTAAAGTATCATTGGACCACTGAATACACTTTCCTGTCCTGAGGAACCCATCTGGATGTGGATTTTTAAGAATGAAGGTACTTATCAAGTTCCAAAAACAACTTAAAAGAAGTAAGACTGAGATGGAAGCAACTCAAGTGTCCATCAATGAGTGAATGGATGAGTAAAATGTGGTGTACACATGCTATGAAACATTATTCAGCCTTGAAAACTGACATGTGCTACAACACAGATGAAACTTGAGGACATTATGCTAAGTGAAATGAGCCAGTCACGAAAGGCCAAATACTGCATAAGTCCACTCATATGAGGTACCCAGAGTTGTCAAAATCATAGAGACAGACAGTAGAATGGTGGTGGTTCCCGGGGGCTGGGTGTTGGGGAATGGGGAGTTGTAGTTTGGTGGGTACAGAGTTTCAGTTTTGCAGGATGAAAGAATTCTGGAGGTAGGTGGTGGTGATGGTTACACAACTAAGTGAATGTACTTAGTTCCACTGAACTGTACACTTAAAAATGGTTATAATGGTAAATGTTATGTTATATATATTTTACCACAATAGAAAAAAGAAAGAGGCCTAGCCAGTTAGCTCACTTGGTTAGAGGGTGGTGTTGGTGACACCAAGGTCAAGGGTTCAGATCCCCATACTGGCCAGCTGCCAAAAAGAAATGAAGAAAAAATAAAAAATAGAACAGATGGGACTGAAAACTAAACCCCACCACCACCACCACACCAGGAGTGAACCTTAAAGTAAATGATGGACTTTGGGTGATAATGATGTGTCAGTGCAGGTTCAGCAGCTGTAACAAATGTGCCACTCTGGGGGGGGGATGTTGACAGTGGGGGAGGATAAGCATGTGTGGGGGCTGGGCGTATATGGGAGCTCCCTGTACCTCTGCTCAATTTTGCTGTTCATAAAAAACTGCTCCGAAAAATAAAATCAGGCTGGCCGGTTAGCTCAGTTGGTTAGAGCATGGTGCTGATAACACCAAGGTCAAGGGTTCAGATCCCTATACCCAGCACCAAAACAAAAACAAACAAACAAGAAAACTAAACCCCTAATTTGGGATTTCAAAAGAGGAAGTGGCTGTTCCTCAGAGAACAGTCAGATCCCCTCTTGGCCACCAGTGGCTTGACACTTACATACTGCAGCAGTGAATTCCATCCTCTTTGCAAGAACACATCTCACATGTCTTCGTCTTCCACTTTGAGTTCAGCGGGTGTTTGACTCCATCGAGATCCTTGCATTCTAAAACAATACCCACGGCACCGTCCGTCAGTGAAAGCTGTGCTGTGGGAGCAAGGCCTGTCGGGAGGACATGGCGGCCAACCCCTGCCTCTGATCCCCTCCCAGGCAGAGATGAGCTTGACATTTCAAAGGGGACTACGAAAAGCGCTTCTGTGTTTGCCCACAGCTGAATTCCAGCACTGTGAAGCTCATGCCACTGAGAATGCTTTTTTACATTGAGCTTACATCCTTCCAGATTTTATTTCAGAAGAGATATTCCAAGAAGAAATAAGGCCCTCCTCTTTAATCAGGTAGCTATTTCGGAGCCAAATTTTTTTCTACTGGATGATCTGTGGATAAACCCTTCACTTCTCCACTTCATTTGGTTTTGCCTCGATGGCTGTCAACCCCATATGCACATGGGAAACATCTTGGGTACTTTCTTGTCAGCATCGTAACCCAGAACAATGAAATCAGAATCTCTGGGTGTGGGGCCCAGGCTGCTATATTTTTGGAAAGCTCAGAGATAGGATGTGCTCAGTTTCCCTGGGTTCGGCTTACAGGACACACCTCTGGGTTTCAAGCCACTTCCCAAGGTCTCAGGGCCTTCCTCTAGGCCCTCCCCTAGAGGAAAGTGACTGCTGCTAGTTGGACCTACTTTTGGAACGATGGGAGATGTCAGGGTGCTGACTTAATGCAAATCCAGTGGCTGGGCATGCTCAGTAAAGTGGAATTTATATTCATTAGATAGCATAAATATGTATTAGATAGCGGGACTATAAAAGTTGAATCCCGGCAGGAGGTGGGTGGTTGTTCACTTTCCTGGGGCCAGCACTTTGCTGGCTGGGGTGTACAAGGTTTGTATCAAACTTACTTTCAGCAAGTGGCTGATATTCCCGTGAGCCCGCCTGCAGTCTGTACTAGCCTTTAAGGGGGTATTTCTTACTTTTGTATTGGACCTGGTGTAGGCCCTGCTGGGTCTCTGGAGGTAGGCTGCACTCTCTCTGTAAAATCTGCATCTCTTATTTGCTACACTAAACTCATTCTCACTGTCTACTGACTGCTCTTTAATTCTTTCCTGTAGTGGAGTCAAGAATCTGGTAAGAGGATGGGGTGGGTTGAGGCTGACTACCAGGCCTTCCCAGACCCCTTCTCCTCAGGCATCAGCTCCCCAAGTAATCCAAGGGTCCAACCAGGGGAGAGAACCACTCCTGTAGAGCTTTTATGCTCAAAGGACCAGCGGCAACAGCATCACCCTGGCCGAGTTAGACATACAGACTCACACCCACCTCCAGACCCACTGAATCAGAACCTACATTTGAACAAGCTTCCGGGGCCTGACATGCACATTAAAATTGAGAAGTGCTGCCTTGGAATAAGCAATGGTTCTTAACCCTGACTGCATGTGAGGTCAGTCAAGCAGCTCATAAATGTGCAGCTCCAACCCCGGAGATTCTCATTTACCTTGTCTTAGAAGGGGCCTGAGGCCGGCCCGGTGGCGCACTGGATAGTGCGCCGCTTGGGAAGCGTGGCAGCGCTCCCGCCCGAGGGTTCGGATCCCACATACAGACCGGTTCCCACTCACTGGCTGAGCGAGGCGCAGGAGCAACACCGAGGGTTGCGATCCCGTTGCCGGTCCCTGGTCCGGTACGGGGGCAACACTGAGGGTTGCAATCCGTTGCCGGACACGGAAAAAAAGGACAAAAAAAAAAAGAAGGGGCCTGAACACTGTGGTAGATTTCAAAAGCTCTCTAGGCAATTCCCACCCAGTTAGGGTTGAGAACAACTGTCTTATATAAATGACGTAATGAAGTCCCTCATTTTAGTCCATTTTATATCTGCCCTAGCCCTCCTGTTCATGGGGATTCAAAGGCTTTCATCTGCTGGTCAGGCTCCAATAACGTAACAAATATTGAAAAACCAGGACTTACCACTGGATGTATTGCCTGGAATTTTCTCAGCGGGTATGACATAGCACTGTGCATTGCACAAAGTCAGGAAGGTGGCAAAGACCATGAGGCTGCCCAGGAGAGCATTCTGTAAAGTAAAAAGAATCGGGGATGGAGAATAGATGAGTGCAGATGGTAATGTTGACTGAATGCTGCGTACCAGGATCCCCGCTGTGCTCTGGCTAGTGGTTATTACAGGTGGAGCTTTTACCTTCAGGTAATCTTGCAAGGGAATAGGACTACACACGTCACTAACGCAAACTATAGAAGGAGCTAAACCTGAGTCAAAAGGCGTAGAACAATAAAAATAGTGTACTATTTTATTACAGCGGAAGTTTGGGAAACCCTAGTGGAGAGGGTGATTTTTAGCTGCTTTGCAGAATATGTAGAACCTAAAGGACAGAAATGTGGGAGTGCAAGAGAGTTTCATGAAGAGAATAAAACGTTGGCAAAGATGCAGAGGCAAAGAAGATAGAGTTGGAGGCTTGCTGGAGCTGACTTTGTTACTGGGAGAGATGACTGGAAAGATGGGTTATGATCGGGCTGTAAACACAGACCGTGAGGCTAAGAACTTTATTTTCCAGATGATAAAGGCACCTTTGATGCCTACAGGAGCAAACCAACTAATCTAGGCTGAAATCACAGGACAGGGATAAGTATCAAGTAGCTCTTATCTTTGTGAGTTGAGCAAAATAAACAAAACTTCATGTGGTCATTTCCAGGAATCTTTTTTTTTTTTGGCAGCTGGCTGGTATTATCAGCACCATGCTCAGCCTCCAAGAACCTTTTTAAAAGGAAGATGAGGTTAAATAAAATTTTTAGGAAGCCATTGGTTTGGACCAAGCTCCTACCCTAGGCCCAACGGGCCAAACCAAAATGCAGTTACGTGTGCTCAAGTCCCATGCCACCACGCCCAAACTGAGTGGTTTATGTGACCTTCCCAGACATAAGGAGAGAGATAAATCCTTAAGCCCCAAAATGCAGTTACGTGTGCTCAAGTCCCATGCCACCATGCCCAAACTGAGTGGTTTATGTGACCTTCCCAGACATAAGGAGAGAGATAAATCCTTAAGCCAGTTTTAGCTGGCGCAGTGAAATCCCCTCTGCTTTAACCTTTACAAGGAAAGTAACTTTGAAACAGCCAGTCCGCTTTTGTTCTGCTTCTGCTTTCCTCAGCCCTTGTCTGTCTATAAATCCAAACTCCTCTGCTCAGCTCATCACTCATTCTATTTTATAGAATGAGGTGTTGCCGGATTCTAGAATCACAAATAAAAGCCAATTAAGATCTTTAAACTAAATCTGTTATATTTTTGTCTTTTGACAATGGGGGTGAGGGTACTTATTCTGTAAATAGGTACCCTCAAAATCACCTAAAATTTACGATGAAGTGATTGCTGCTCGAAGTATGTTACTAATACAAGGGCTGTCTGCTTAGCTCAGTTCATTAGAGCTCAGTATTATAACACCAGGTCAAGTGTTCAGATCCCTGTACAGGGGAGGTGCCCCCCCAAAATAGAAAGACAAATATAAGGAACAAAATAAAAAACTCAGGAAGTATTTATACATAAAATATTATTATAAAATAAACACGGTCTTTGAGATGTATGGAGAGTGATTATTCCATAAATGGTATTAGAACAAGTGGTAGACTATTTGGGAAAGAAACAAATTTCCTATTTCAGTTACCACAATGAAATAAATTCTAAAAGGATACAAGGATTTTATTTTTGTAGTAAGATCATAAAATAATCACAGAAAATATAGGCAAATATGTACCTTATTCTGAGCATAAAAGAAAAAGAAAAATAGATTTGAGTATGTAAAAGCTGTAAGAACATAAGAAAAAATTAAAATATCAGATTTGGAGAACAAGGTCACTATATGAAAAGTTTCTGAACACCAATGGAAAAATAAAACATCTTATTAGAAAAATATCAAGGATTTATTTCTTTATTTGAGGCATCTCACACACATACATAGACACAAGTAGAAATGGTGAATAGAAACATGAAAAAGCTCACCTTACTGATAACAAAAGAAATGTAAATATGAAGATAAAACAGAACCATAATGGGATAGCACGAATAGTCATTTAACTTATAATACCCAGAGGGAAATAAAGGCACATGTGGGAATTGATATGCACAAGGATTGTTTATGATGAGACAATTGTTATGGAGAGCAATTTGATAGAATCTATCAAAATTCTCAAAATCATTTATGTTTGACTTCACCTTTTCACTTCTAAGACTTGATCCTAAGAATGGCAGAAAGATGGACACAGACTCCTCCATAAGGACACTGACTGCCATGGGAAAATGGAAAGAAACAAAATGCCAAAGAACAGAGCTGGTTGAGAACATGGTGACTCAGAAAAAAACCTGGCACACTGGCAAGGGAGGAGAAGGTGAAATGAATGAGCAAATTATCACTACGTGCCGCTAAGTGAAATGAAGCAGGTTACAGAACAGTTTGTCTGGTGGGATTCCTGGGATGTAGAGAGATGCTCAGAAACAGAAGGCTATGTGCCAAATGTTCACAAGTCATCCGTGGGCCGTGGGATTATGACAACTTTCTTCTTTGGATCTTTCCTCTTATTTCCTAAATTTTCTACACTGACATGCATTAGTTTTAGAACCAGAAAGAAATAAGTGAATTATTTTTTAAAAAACATAATCATGGGCCGGCCCGGTGGCGCACTGGATAGTGCGCTGCTTGGGAAGCGCGGCGGCGCTCCCGTCCGAGGGTTCGGATCCCACATACAGACCGGCTCCTATTTTTGAGATTACCTATTTGACAATATCTCAGAACTCACCTGTCACTAACTCTCTCTCTGAACCTCAGTTTCCTCTTCTGCGAGAAGAGGAGTTCTCCCACTTGGGTCAGCATCACAATTACTCAGGT